GAGGGCTTTAACTATTGATGAAAGTTGGGTTCAGACGTAAGGTACCATTCTGTCTGTTGGTCGTACAGAAACGACAACATCTGCTGGATCATTTTATGTTATTGTTATGTTGTTGTTGTTTTTTTTGTTTTGTTTGGGGGGGGGAGTAGGGGTTGGGGGTTGTGTGAGTGTGTTCGCTTGTCCTCCTAATTCAGTGGTTCTCAACCTTTCTAGTGCCGCGACCCCTTTAACACAGTTTCTCGTGTCGTTGGGACCCCCGAGCCACACAATTATTTTCGCTGCTGCTTCATAGCTGTAAGGATATATGTTTTCAGATGGTCTTAGCCGACCCCAGGAAAAGGGTCCCGCGACCCCCAAAGGGGTTGCGACCCACAGGTTGAGAACCGCTGTCCTCATTGGAGCACCGTGTTCACACCGAGGTAGGTGAAGTGTATGCCCACCAAGATGCGTGTTAATGATGGAGGCATTTTCATGACCACACTTGGGTGTTGGGAGAGAAAAGTTGATTTTATTGATGGTAGCAGATGGGGTGGGGGGGGTTCTGTGCGGGGGTAGGGGTGGAATCGGAATAATATAGGTGGGGTTCGTTTTTTAATGGGTTGTGGTAAAAGGGTGGAAGAGAGCAGTGATCCCAATCTGTTCTCCGGTGTACTGAGGAGCCCCGCAGGGCTCTCTAGTAAACGCCATAACACATTTACATTGTAAGATATAAGGAAGACATATGAGACATTTAATCGTAAAAGGGGATTCTTGATTGAAAAGGTTTGGGAACCACTGGAAACTGGAGTTTCAACAGTTGGTTGGGAAGGAGCTAAGTTGGTTGAGTGATTGGGAAGGAGCTAAGTTAATTATTTGGGGGAGTGGGGTGGCGGTGATGTTGCTGTGCTGGGGGATGAGGTGGGGTGACGTTGTTGTATGAGGTTAGATGAGGTGGGGTGACGTTGTTGTATGAGGTTAGATGAGGTGGGGTGACGTTGATGTATGAGGTTAGCTGAGGTGGGGTGACGTTGATGTATGAGCTTAGATGAGGTGGGGTGACGTTGTTGTATGAGGTTAGATGAGGTGGGGTGACGTTGTTGTATGAGGTTAGATGAGGTGGGGTGACGTTGATGTATGAGGTTAGATGAGGTGGGGTGACGTTGTTGTATGAGGTTAGATGAGGTGGGGTGACGTTGTTGTATGAGGTTAGATGAGGTGGGGTGACGTTGCTGTATGAGGCTAGATGAGGTGGGAGTGGGGTGACGTTGATGTATGAGGGTAGATGAGGTGGGGTGACGTTGTTGTATGAGGTTAGATGAGGTGGGGTGACGTTGTTGTATGAGGTTAGATGAGGTGGGGTGACGTTGATGTATGAGGTTAGATGATGTGGGGTGACGTTGTTGTATGAGGTTAGATGAGGTGGTGTGACGTTGTTGTATGAGGTTAGATGAGGTGGGGTGACGTTGATGTATGAGGTTAGATGAGGTGGGTTTACGTTGCTGTCTGAGGTTAGATGAGGTGAGGTGACGTTGCTGTCTGAGGTTAGATGAGGTGGGGTGACGTTGCTGTCTGAGGTTAGATGAGGTGGGTTGACGTTGATGTGTGAGGTTAGATGAGGTGGGGTGACGTTGATGTGTGAGGTTAGATGAGGTGGGGTGACGTTGCTGTGAGAGGCTAGTTGGGGGTTCTGGAAGCTGGCATCATTCAAACGGGGCGACAGGCCCAGACAATATCATAATTATTTCATCACTTATAGTGTCACACTGGCAATGGTCCGGGTGTCGTGGCGGGTGGAGAGAGGGATTGCAACACTGTCAACAATCAGAGAGGGGTTCGGGGGGG